CAGTTAGGAGACTCAAAGTTGAAGGCAATAAAAGAGAAGATTGAGAAAAGGCAGGTTTTAGACTTTACTATTGCTGCTGAGGGAAGTATTCGATTTAAAGGGAGATGGTGTATTCCACAACATTGTGGGGAAATCAAGCAGAGACCCATAACTCTCACTATTCAATGCATCTTGGAGGGGATAAGTTGTACAAGGATACGAAGAAGGTCTTTTGGTGGCCAAACATGAAGAAAGAAGTAGTAGAGTTTGTGGAAAAATGCTTATTATGCCAGAAGGTGAAGATTTGGGGGCATTTAGTTTTCTCAAGTCAATAATACTTATCTAGTATCGTCAATTGTTATCATATTGTTAGCCTTTATCTTTTTCTAAGAGATTTTGTTAGCTAATTGCTTAGCTTCCCACGTAGGGTTGTCAAACGTGTCGTTTCATGTCGAGTCCGAGCTCGTGCTGATATTAAATGGGTTGAAAAACCTTTAACCCAAACCTAACCCATTTATTAAATGGGCTAAAAACCCTTGACCTAAACCTAACCCACTTATTAAACGGGCTACGCAGGTAACCTTTTACCCACATAGTTTGTAATAAACTAATTAATATTTAATTCAAAAATAAAAAAGACAAACATCATTAATTCATTAAAGATACTACAATAGTTTAAAGTTAATTAGTAGTTTTAGCAAAAGATACCACAAGGATTTAGGTCCTGTTACCATTAGATTATTTTCATTTCAGTTCTAATAAGTTTAATTCAATTCGATTCAGCTCTAATAAGTTTAATTCAAATCAGTTCCTAATTTCCTTCTCTTATAAAATATTCAGTTTAGTTTAGTCAATGAGAACAGGCTCTTAAAACTAGTAGGTTTAATAATACAACCATACATAACAATAATACAACCATAAATAAGAATTATCTCAAATTAACCGCCAAATTTAATTTTAATTTAAAAAAGATGAAAATTATAATTTTGTAGCTAAATTAACCGTTAAAAAATTACCATAATGTATAAATGGTGTCAAGGTAATTAGAAAATTACAAGTTTTTAATAAAAATTCTGTTTTTTTTTTTCTACTTAATTAGTAGATTAAGCGTGTCGAGTTTTGTTTGACGGGTTGTCGTTCAACCCATTTATATAATCGGATTATGCGTGTCGGTTTTTGTTTGACAATTTCAACCCAAACATAGCCCGTTTAATTTCGTGTCGATCCAATTATGTAAGTGGGTCAAGAATTGTTGACGCAAACACGCTTATTTCGTGTCGGGTTCGTGTCGGGTTATCATGTCGTGTCAGTTTTTGATAATCCTATTCCCACGGATAGTCGGCTATTACAACCTAAGAATTGAATGTTGCATTGCAAGCCTATTATTTGTTTGGCGCTTAGGGAGCCACAAGGGCAGGGGTGAGAATCGATCCCATGATCTCCTGGAACCGGGAGGAAAGCTCTAACCACTTGAGCTATTCCTCACTCTCATTGCTAGCCTATTATTCAATACTACTATTTGGCCTAATTTCTGAAACTATTTCTCAATCTAATAATATAAACTGGCCAAACAAGGGAATTTTAAGAAATAAAAACACTTTTTCAAGAAGCCAAAAACAGAGTTTAAGAAGGGTAAAACTGTAAAATGAGAAGCACCAAATAATCGGCTATTACAAACACTTCCTCTCATCTCTCATTTAGTCTTATCAATTGAAATTGATCGAAAATACAAGCTTTATTTTATAACCCTAGATTTTATTATTATTATTATTTTTTTTAATTAATTATCTTTCTTTTTCCATTCTGATTATTTTACATTGTCCTCACGTATCCACTACTAGAATATAGCCTAATATCGATGGCCAAAATCCATCGGTAAACATATAAAAAACCATCGGAATCACGTTTACCGATGGCTGCCATTGGTATTTTGGCCATCGGATAACAATTCATCGAGAAATCAGAAAATACCGATGGAAAAGCCATCGGTAAAAATAATACCGATGGTTTTACCGATAGCTAAACTCCGTCGGTAATTTTTTAAATAACGATGGCTTAAACCATCGGTTTTTTTACCGATGGCAGAAGGCCATCGGTATATTCATATTACCGATGGTGTTTAGACATCGATAATCATTTTTAAAAAAATTAAAAAAATTAAACCCGCCTACCCACCCTATTACCCCCATACCCCTACACCCCCTTACTGCCCCCTACCCCCACCACCAATCCCCTACTGCCCACCTACCCACACAGCCAAACACCCAAACCACCTAAGTCCCCAGCCACCGCAACCACCACCACCACCATTAAAACAAAAAAAAACCAATAATCCATGAAAATCAACCACATAAACTAACGAAAATCAACCAAAAAAACAGCCACATAAACTAAAGAAAATCAACCAAAAAAACCAACCAAAAATCAACAAACAAAAAATTACAATGAATCCATGAAAATCAATCACATAAACTAACGAAAATCAACCAAAAAAACAACAAAAATCAAACAAAAATCAACCAAAAATCCAACGAAAATCAACCACAATAATCCAACGAAAATCAACCAAAATTTAAGGAAAATCAACCACAACTCCCTCGAAAATCTACCAAATAATTCAGCCATATAACCCACGAAAATCAACCACAAAAATAAGACATTCAACCACAAAACCCATGAAATTAACCATAAAATCCACGAAAATCAACGACAAAACCCACAAAAAACAAAAAAAAACCCAACAAATATTCAACCACAAATAACATACCTTTAGATATTGTTTTCATTTCTCAAGGTTTAAATGGTCTAATTCGACCATAAAAACTCCAGATCTGAAGTTTTTATTGTCGAATTAGACCAAAAACACCACAATGCCGCCGGAATTCCCACAAATAGCCCACGAACACCGTCGAACAAAGCCACAAACACCATGAGAAAGAACAAAACTGAGAGGGAGGGAGAAACCGAGATGAGGAAGAGATGAGAGATGAGGAAGAGAAAAAAAAACATGGGAATGGAAGTGAGAGGAGAAAAGAGCAAAAGGGGGAAGGAGAGAGGAGAGAGAAAAAGAGAGGAGGGAGAAGGAGGAGGCGTGGGATAAGAAGATAGAAGACAGTGAAAAGGGGAAGGGGGTGCTTTTAGGGTTTACTCGAATTTTTTTAATTTTTTTTTTAAAATTACCGATGGCTTATAGCCATCGGTAAAATACCGATAGCCAAAAGCCATCGGTAAAAAATTCAAATTTTATTTTAAAATTTAATATTTTACCGATGGAAGAAAGCCATCGGAAAAAATATACCGATAGCCAGGCCATCGGTATTATGAGAAATACCGATGGCTAAGTTAAACCATCGGTAAATTATTTTTTTACCGATGGAATTTTCTAGCCATCGGTAAATGAGCATTTTTTTTTGTAGTGATCAAATCAGACAGTTTAATTAGATTTGGATCGAAATAGATAAGGAAAAAAAAATGAATTGAACTAAAGAAACAAATTAGTTTTTTTAGTCAATAAACCAATAATACTTATCTAGTAAAGTCAATTGTTATCTTATTGTTAGCTTTTATCTTTTTCTTAAGAGATTTTGTTAGCTAATTGCTTTTTTTTTCCCACAGCTAGTCGGCTATTATTACAAACCTAGAAATGTTGCATTTTTTTATTTTTATTTTTGATGCAAAGCTAGGGGCAGAAATTATACATGTTGCATTGCTTGCCTATTAATTGTTTCAATACTCATATATAAATCATCAAGAATTATTACTCTTTATTTCTTTAGAGTGTCCGTAGAAATTAATTGTTGTTGCCGTAATATTCAGTTTTTATCCTCTTAGTTTCCCTCTTTCAGTGCTATCTTTCTCATACCTTTCTTTACTTTCTCACATCTCTGATCAATTGAAATTGATCGAAAATACAAGTTATTCTAAAAATCCTAGATTTTATCTTTATTTCTTTAATTTTCTCTCTTTTGCCATTTTTATTTTGATTTCTTTTCTTTAATCAGTATTTAATTTTATTCTGTTTCATCCTCTCTTCTCCAATTCACCATGTCAAATTTCGTGGTTCTCATTGCAAAATATCTCTTAATAAGCATTTTTGTATGGAATGTAATCGTTACATTGTTTGTGGCAATCACCGTTGATAAATGGGAAGAGGTTTACGTCGCTCCATTTTATGTACGCATTATAACCAAGTCGACGACCCGCTTCGAACACATTAATCGTGTAAACAATTATCTCGATGGTAAGACAGGAAGTGAAGATTATGGTTTGGCGTCGTTTTTTAAACAGAAATTTGGCACACCAAAGATTCATCAACAAGAAGATTATATTAAGTTGGTTGACATTTACTCTTTTCGAAAGTGCATATTCGAGATGGTATACGGTGAACCTTCATACAGCCAATGCAGTCCAAAAGTGGCCCGAGTTTTTAGCATCGATCAAGGCCGGAGTTGAGCCGAGGCGAGCAGAGTAGTGACACAAGCCTAATACCAAGACTGCTGAGGCTGCTATGCTTCGAAAATAGAGTATATTGTGATTTGTTGCTCTATTATTAGCCACTTCTGTAATTTTTGTGTATATGATTTTAGTCTTTCTAATTGATTGTATTGTCATGCATTTTAAAAGTTTATCAGAATACGAATTTTATACAATGTTATTAAGCTACTCTTGGCTTAAACTTGAGCGATACTCTTGGCTTGTATTGTTGTGGCCTTGTACTACATTCGTTTCCAAATGTTCTTTACACGTCCTTACTCAATATTGCTTGGATCAACAATATATCTCTTTATCTGCAATATTTTCAGTCGAATACATTCAATTTTCAATTATTTTTTTTTTATTTTTTTCTTGAAAGTAGAAAAGCAGGGTAGGAAAGTCATTAAGCTACCCATTCAACCCTGATACTAATTGAGCACCAAGAAATTATATCAGCCATATACTTCATTACTTATCAAGTTATTATATCAGCATAACCCACTTTTATGTTATAAATAATAATGCTTTAATTTATTAAATAATAATCTGTAATTGACATCACAATCTAACAAATCAGAGCTAATAATTTAGAGCACATACCATTTTAAGCATTATATATCAATAGAGTGGGGGTCAATAATAGCATCTCTAGCTAGCTGGTGGTAGCAGCACCTTTATCAAGGCATGTCTCCAATCAAAGGGTCGAGAATGGTCTTGAGCTCATTCAACTTTTCCTCGTATTCAGAGACTCGAGTGAGATTGAGATTCCAGTCGAGCCACTGGATCGTCTTGTCAATTGCATCCTTCATCTTCTTAGCATTCTCCTCTCGAAACTTATTCCAGCAAACTTCCACCATGTCCCACTTACTTTCAGCATAATTCTGCAATGCAAGCTTGGCTGCAACAGCTTTTTTGTGTTCCTCGTCCTCTACCTTGTACTTGTTGGCCTCCTCCACCATTCGATCAATCTCTTCTTTGGATAACCTACAACTGTGATTTGCAATACTTAATTGTTTTTTGTTGTTAGTGCCTATGTGATGCGCTGACACAGTAAGGATACCATCATTGTTGATTTCAAAGCAGACTTCAAATTTTTCTTTACCTTTCCGCCCTGGAGGGATATTGTGCAGTTCAAACATACCTAAGAAGTTGTTGTCGAAGGCGATGGGTCTCTCACCTTCGAATACACGAAAATGAACGGTTGTATCGTTATCTGCATTGTAAACAATACCTGACTTTTTCACTGGAAAGGTAGTATTTCTTGGAATGAAAATGGCCATTTTACCACTATAATACCTGAGTCCAAGGGACAGAGGAGTTACATCTACTAGAGTAAAGTCCCTATTGTTACGTACACCGCTCAACATTGCAGCTTGAACCGCAGCACCATATGCAACAGCCTCATCTGGGTTAATGCTTTGGCAAAACTCCTTCCCATGGAAGAAATCTTTCAACAATTCTTGAACCTTCGGAATCCTAGTTGACCCACCAACAAGAACAACATCATCAACTTTAGTCTTTTTCATCTTGGCGTCTTCCAAACATTTCTTAACAGGATTTATACAATTGGTAAACAAATCCAGGTTCAACCTTTCAAACTTGGCTCGGGAGATGGTCGAATATAAATCAATACCCTCGTAGAGACAATCTACATCAACACTAGTCTCGGTAGCTGATGATAGCATCCTTTTTGCCCTCTCACAAGCAGATCTCAACCTCCCAATAGCCCTGCGATCTCCACTAATGTCCTTGTTATGTTTCCTCTTAAACTCGGCCACAAAGTAATCAACCATTCTACTGTCAAAATCCTCACCACCTAAATGGGTGTCTCCGTTAACTGCTTTCACTTCACAAGCCTGTTTACCAATTCTAACCAAAGATACATCAAATGTCCCACCACCAAGATCAAAAACTAACACATTCTTAGATGTCTGTTTCATATTAGTGGCCATCTTGTCAAGACCATAGGCAATGGCAGCAGCTGTTGGTTCATTGATAATGCGCATGACATTGAGTCCAGCAATGGTACCCGCATCTTTTGTTGCCTGACGTTGGGAATCATTGAAATAAGCAGGGACAGTGATAACAGCATTTTTCACTTCTGAGCCAAGGTAGGTCTCTGCAGTCTGTTTCATCTTCATCAAGACCATTGAAGAGATCTCCTCTGCAGCAAACTGTTTTTCTTCGCCTTTATAGGTGACTACGATAGCAGGTTTATTTTCTTCAGACGCGGAAATAACCTTAAAAGGCCAGAGTTTCATGTCATTCTGTACTACTTCATCGGTGAATCTTCTGCCAATAAGCCTCTTTGCATCTGTAAATTATTTCAATGAATAAGAAACTAAATATAAGGGATTGACAAATATAAAAATAGCAACTTCGTCAAATTTTGAAATCCAAAGTATAAACTTTTACAAGAATAGTGTCACATAAAAGTTAATGTTTTGATCAGTTCTGGGTGGTTAAGTTCCAGTCCCCTCCTAATTGTTGGTGCGGGGATCGAACACGGATTCTCCCTACTAAGTGTAGTCCCAATTACCACTACACCAACGACCAACCAATTGTTACAATTAATGTTCTTTACGAGACAAATACATACTCTAAGACTTATGGTGTAATGTGTATATCTCGTTCATTACAGATCGATCATCTTATTATTTAGCCACCCTTTATTACATCAATAATGCGTATTCAAGTATTTACCACTTTCGTACATTATACAAAACTTTACTAGATTATTACAAGTAAAATGCTATCTTCTCATGGGAGTCCAACATTAACTTTTCCACATATAGATATGTTGTGATTTGTGTATCAAACCTATTTGTCTATGTTATCTTTACCGAAAAGGGCACATATTGATAATTTTAATCTACAGAAAAATTTAATCTATAATCTATAAATATTTGTTCACAGAGTAAAAATTAAAAGTTGTGTTGTTTATATCAATCAGTAATTATTAACTTATAATAAAACATAATTGTGGATTGTAAGGTACGGTAATGTTAGACAGTCAGTGTACCACAAATACAAGTACTAGAATTAATAACAACAAAGAGTTTTAATTATAATTCTAGGAAAATTTTAAAAAACCTCCATGTAAAGTAACGAAGCAAAATTAAATTTACAGAAAACGAACCAAAAACACTATTAACAGGATTAGAAGTAGCCTGATTTTTAGCAGCCTCGCCAATAAGACGTTGAGCTTGATTGAAAGCAACACAAGACGGTGTTGTTCTGTTTCCTTGATCATTGATTATTATTTCAACACGGTTGTGCTGCCATACTCCAACACAAGAGTATGTCGTCCCGAGATCGATTCCTATTGCCGGCCATTCTTTACTACCTTCCCCCACCATTTTTTTTTTTCTTTATTAGTTCGATTGGCAGAATGAATTATGGGAAATTTCGAGTGGAACGTAAAGCAATCACACGGAGGTCCGACGGAGTATGTAAGACTACTAAGGGTATTTTTTTAGGAAATAAGAAGTGTAGAGTTGAAGACTACTTAGAATTTTCTATTTTAATAAGAAGTGCCAAATTCTTCAACAAAACCTAAGCTTATAAAGATAGAATAATAATCTTTCTAAAAGATATATATATCACAAATTCAAAATCATATATCCTAAACATATATCAAACTTTTTTTTTTAATTATATGAAAAAATATCTTAACATAAATAATTCTAAGTGCTCCGTATATTATTCTCATAATAATATAATAAGGGTCTGTTCATATTTACTGAACTGAGCTGAACTGAACTGATTGGAGCAGAACTGAACTGAATTGATTGGAGCTGAACTGAACTGAACTGAACTGAACAGAACTAAGCTGAAATGAATATTTTATGAGAGAGGGAAATTAAGAGCTGAACTGAACTGAATTGAACTGAACTGATTAGAGCTGAACTGAACTGAACTGAACTGAAAAATAAGTAAATATGAACAGGCCCTAAATCAATCAATCTAATATAATATCATATCATATCATATAACTAATATATAAAGCTAAACTTTTAGCCAGGTCACGATTTTGCGACACTTGGCGTTTCAACTTTTCGCTAAGTGTCGTGCCACGTTGGAGCGATTTAAATAAAATTCCTAAGATAAAAAAAAAAACAAAAAAAAAAATAGAATTTTAGGATAAAATTTTAAGTTTAGAATTTTATTTTCGATAAAAGACCAATATTTTAGAGATACAAATTAAATTGTAATTTTATTCAAAAAAATTATTAGATTATAATTCTTAAAAATTATCATATAAATTTAATTTTTTATGTCATAATATTTTTTTTTTGGAGCGAAGGAATTAGTTTAAAGTGTAAAACATCTATTTATAATATAGAATAATCGGTTAAAATAATATATACTTCACAACTAATTGAATTTTATTACTATATAGACCTGTCAATTAGGGTTGAGTCATGAGTCATCTCGAATTGGGTCATTTTAGGTTACGAGTCAAGAAATATTTAAACTTTGCCCAAAGTTTTTGTTCGGGTCAACCCAACGGGCTTTGAACATTTATCTTATTTAATTTATTATTTGTTTATTTTTTTAATGTATTAAATCGAACATTTCCACCAATATTACTGGCAAATATACTATTTTGGGTGTCCTAAAAAGTTCCTACTATTACTAAAAATAATACCTCATCATTACTTACTTTTTAGCTCTTCCATACAAATTACACACATACCTAAAAAATCATTACTTACTTTTTTTTTCATACAAAGTACACACATACTTAAACACTCATTACTTTTTAACTTTTCTATACAATATTCTCTACAGTTTATTATCCTCATACAACATTCTTCACTTTTTATTTTTATTCATACAACATTCCTCTACTTTTTCCATCCTCCATAAAAATCGTACTTTTTGGAGATATTTGCCTGTAATTATGGGACGGGGGCAGTAGATAGCAAATCGTTACAAAAGCACATCAATAAACTAATTTTGTATCAATGGTATATTTTAAAATTTGACATATAGATTAAAAAATTTATCTTTAAATTCAATAAACAACTCGTGCATCGCACGGGCACAAAACTAGTATCTAATATATAAAGCTAAACTTTTAGTCAGACGACGAGATAGCGACACTTGGCGTTCCAACTTTTCGCCAAGTGTCGCGCCACGTAGGATAGAGTTATATAGGATTCAATTTGTATCATAAAAAATTAATTTAGAATTCTATTTTCAATCAAATTTGGATAGAATTTTAGGATAAAATTGTTAATTTAGAGTTTTAGTTTCGATAAAGTACCAATATTTCATATGTACAAATTAAATTATCATTTTTTAAAAAAAAAATTATTACACTCTTAAATTATCATATAAATTTATTTTTTATATCATAGTATTTTTTTTGGAGCGAAGGAATTAGCTCAAAAAGCACCACATCCATTATTTATAATATATTCTAATCAATTAAAACAATATACTTTACAATCTTGAGTCATTTCCGACAGGGTCATTATTTTAGGTTAAGAGTCAAGAAATATTTTTCACCAATGTTATTATTATTAGTCATTACATGCCTACTATATAGTTTAAATCATCACAAAAACACACCAATTCCTAATTAATTCTGTATCAATGATATGTTTTAAAATTTGACATATAGATTAAAAATTTATCTTAAAGTTCAATAAACAACCCGAGTATCACACGGGTACAAAACTAGATTTAAATAGATTAAATCATACACTTGACATTCTAACTTTTCGCCAAGTGTCGCGTCACCTTGGATAGATTTAAATAGATTCATAAGATAAAAAAGTTAGTTAAAGATTCTTTTTTCAATCAAATTAGGATAGAATTTAGAATAAGATGGTTAGCTTAGAGTTTTATTTTCGATAAAATACCAAATATTAAAATTATAATTAGGCTATAAGACAACATCGTATAACATTTTAACTTTTCGCCAAGTGCCGTACCACGTTGGATAAATATAGATAGACTTTGTAGGAAAAAAAAGTTAATTTAGAATTCTATTTTCAATCAATTAAATTGAATTATAATATAAATTTATCTTAAAATTCCATAAACAACCCGAGCATCGCACGAGGAACAAAACTAGTAACTAATATATAAAGCTAATTTTTTAGCCAGGTTACGAGACAACAACACTTAGCGTTACAACTTTTCGCCAAGTGTCGCGCCATGTTGGTTAGATTTAAATAGAATTCATAAGATAAAAAAAAGTTATTTTAGAATTATATTTGGATAAAATTTTAAAATAAAATTGTTAGTTTAAAGTTTTATTTTTAATAAAATATCAATATTTCAGATGTACAAATTGAATTATAATTTTATTTTTTTAAGAAAATATTAGATTATAATTCTAAAAAATTATCATATAAATTTATTTTTTATATCATAATTTTTTAAGAGGGAAGGATTTAGTTCAAAGCATAAATCATCAATTTATAATATATATTACTCGATTAAAATAATATATACTTTACAATCTAATAGAGTTTTATAACTATGTACACCTGTCAATTAGGGTCGCGTCATGAGTCATCTCAGATCGGGTCACTTTAGGTTACGAGTCGAAATATGTTCAACCATTTCCCAAAGTTTTGGGTTTGGGTCAATCCAACGGGTTTTGAACATTTATTTTATTTAGTTTTTTTGCTAATTTTTTAAATGGATTTTTCTAAGCTATACCCCTAAGGTATTCGAGTTTCTAAGGTGTACCCATGCTTTTTTCAAGTTTCTAAGTTTTGCCCCTCAACTCACTACCATTAATGAATGGTACCCTCCTTGGGACTTCCACGTCACCTAAAGTTAACTATAAATTTAATAGAAAGATGATAAAAGGTAAGGAAATGGTAGGAGAAAGAAATCTTAGCCACCGCAACCCTAATAATGAAAACTGAAGCCACAAAATCACACTCTGAATTAACTTTTAAATAACTAATAAGGGTACATTTTAGTATTGATAAGGAGTTGAAGGGCACTACTTAGAAACTTGAAAAAGCATGGGTACACCTTAGAAACTCGAATACCTTAAGGGTATATCTTAGAAAAACCCAATTTTTTTTAATGTATTAATTCAAATATTTCCATTAACATTATTATTATTAGTCATTAAATGCCTTTTACAAAAACACATCAATTCCTAACTAATTATGTATCAATGATACATTTTAAATTTTGACATATAGATTAAAAATTTATCTTAAAATACAATAAGTAACCCGGACATTGCACAAGGCACAAAACTAGTATATGTTTAAAGGGGAGTTTTTTCCCGATTTTTTAGAGAGCCACGTAGGATCTAATTTTCTCAGCGCGCCATGTAGGATTATAAATCTTAGTAGTAGCCAATTAAATAAGAGATTATTAAATTTTTTTAGAATTAAATAATTCAAATGCCACGTAAGCAAAATTGGCGAATGAGATTTTTAAGTTTTAATTAATTCAATATTAAATACTATCTTCTAATATTAGGTATTTTATCTAAATATATAACAAATTTTAGCTCATAAATACAAAAAAAAAAAGAATAATAATAAAAAAAAAAATCAAACAAACTGTGTATCGCACAGGCTTTATCTAGTCTAATATATATATATATATATATATATATATATATATATATATATAAAGTAGACATTTTCCGAGAGCATTTGACGCGCCACATAAGAAAAGGTATTATTTTGTCTAATGAAAAATTAGATTAATAATTATTTTAGAATTAAAAAATTTACTCGCCACCTAAGCAAAAGTGACGAATAAGATTTAAGAATTTTGACACATAGGTAAAAACAATGAATAGTGAATAATTAAAATTTAAATTACTTTTAAAACCAATAGTTATCTTCTCTAAAAAAAAACAATAAAAAAAACTAAGTAATAATCATCTTTTTTACATATATGGATGCAAATTTTTAATCTTAAATATCTTTAATCTCTCCCTAGAAAATGTTGTAAAAGTCTGATTTTAATAATGTACTCATCAAGATGAATAGAACTAAATCTCATATTACTAATTTCCCATAATATTTTATAGTTAAACGATTATAAATGAGACTAACATTTTAAACAGAGCGAGTATATAAAATAAACGCATAGGCAAAAGACATATTTTGATCAATTAAAAAACGAGATTTGTCATTTCTTTTTTGAATTAAAAATTTAAATTGTCACATAAGCAAAATTAGTGAAAAAGGTTTGGGATTTTAAATTCAAGCGTCAGTGCGTCACATAAAATAAATAAAACAACAAAAGATAATTTTAGTGTTAAAATTAAAAAGTATCTTATGATATTAGGAATTTTACCCATATAACTAATAAATGATCTTCATAAATATACACAATTTTAAATTAAATAAAATAGTTA